TGGGGGCGACTCCAGACGGCTCCAGAGAGGGGCCTGGAAAGAGGCGGGTTTGCACCCCACCTGTTCACCGCCCCGCGGGCTCTGGACCCGCAGCACCTGGAAGGTGACACCCCGCGCCCCTCCCTGCCCCGCGTTGTCAGCACACCCGGGACGAGCTGCCGGAGCAGGTGCTGCCCCTCTGTATGCCCGGGAAGCGTAAAATACCGAACAGCAGCACTATCAGCATCACTGTCCGTAACAGAGCGTCGGACACCCTCCCGTGGGATGTCCCCGTCAGGGACAAGGCCCAGGCTCGCACCCCCCGCAGTGCCCCCAGCCCCGCTCCGGGCCCCGTGTCGGCGCACGGCTGAAGGGGCGATGCTGCCGGCTCTGCGCGGGGCCGCGGCGGTGCCTTGCCCCGCGCATCTCCCAGTGGCCAGCCCCTCTGCTCCGGCTTCCTCGGCCCGGCCAGAGCAAGCCACTGCGGGGCTGGGAAGTGGAAATCCCAGCTCCCGGTTTTGGCTTTCCTCTTTGCGTCGGACAAGTCTCTCTGGACTTTTTCAAATGCAGCCAGTAGCTTTGACACAGCCTGGTCAAACCGCTCCACATCTAGTGACTGCTCTAAGTATTAGTACTGCTATTTGGTGATGAGTAATAAAGTACATGAAACGTCCCGGAGCCCAGACAACATCCTCCTAGCAAATTCCTGCCCGGCTCCCAACCTGCTGCTAGGAACTAGTTGGGCTGGATTTTCAGTTACTTGCTCAACCCTCTCTTCCAGTCCAAAGCTGGAAGATTACTCTTGGGTGCATTTAACTGTTTTACTCCTCTTTAAAACCTCCCAAAATAATGTGAAACAGCTGTTGGGTAAATGAGAGCAAGGTTCCCTCTTTTCTTATTTCTAATTGTCAGCACATCTTAACAGCAGCACCAAACGTTCCCCACAGTGGTCTGGGAGCAAGTGGAAGGCACAGTTATTTTTTTCCCCTATATATTTATTCTGCTAAGACTGTTTCCCTGTTCCAGCTGGACCATAAAAATCCCTTCCAGCCTTAGACTTGATTTACAAGGTCACAACCTGGGAGAAAATTATTTATTTATTTACATGCTGTTTATTTAACCCTGACCAAAGGCCACACACCAGCTCAGACCTGCTGCTTGGCAAACCATTTTCTCGTGTTCCCATGGACTTTGCTTTGCTGCTCGTGATCTGCTGGACCAAAGTGTGACCCTCTTTGGTGGGAAGGGCAGGAGCCATTGCATCTTCAAGAACAGAGGGAGACCTTATGCTGAATGAGAAGCAGAGGGATTGTGGCTGGGAATATTTGTCCAGGACTGGTATCTGGAATCTTGATTAAAAAAAAAAAAAAATCTGAAACCAGGTTAGGCCAGTGGAGCTATGGGATAGAGACAATTTTTTTTTCTACATCTAGCTGGAAAACTTAAAGTAGGTACGAGCCCCGCAGTGCATCACCACACCAAAGCCTTCACAGCTGAGAAGCTTGGCTGGGAATACGCATAGTCCAGACACTTGAATGGTGTATGTGCATAGTCCATTTTAGCGCAAAATGGGCCAGATAAAAATCTGATAAAATCTTAAATACTTTTTCCAAGATGACACTGATGGTGGGAAGCAGTGTTGGGAGACCATGTAGCTGTTTTTCTTGCTATTCCTGGAGCATCATCCATCTGTCATCTGTTCAGATCCATTATTGCTATAGTATCTTTATACAGTTAATAAATACTGTAAACTAATCAAATGCCAGCTCTTTGCCTGTCAAGCTGTCCTATCAGATTTCCAGATGGAGATCCTCATCCCACCATAAGAGAAGATAAGCTTAAAGATTGGAAAAGTAAAGGAAATTACTAGCAAGTATGCAATAAACCAGAAGACTCATAATGGTGTGTTGCTTCCCAGTATCTTTGTTGGTTCAATAAGCGTCAATCTGGAATACCAGATCAGAGCTGGAGCCAGAATGTCTTTGGGAAACAATGCATCTCCAAAGGAAAAAATAAGCAAATTTACAATTTCTGTACAGAACATCCCTCTGGCCCTTGCAGCACAGAGCAGCCAAATAATCACTGTAGGCTTAACCCCTTTTAGAGCATTACCTTTTGCAAATCTCCTTTAACTCAAATTTTCCTTGGCTTTTTGCGTTTCAGACAGCTCCTTAACATGATTTTAATATAGCTCCTTGTTTACATTTCATTTAAGGATATCGGATGAAGAGAAGTGCTTCCAGAACTGAAATAGTTTGTTTCTTCTTGCTCCCCAGATCATAGTTTTTAACAAGCAACTAATTTATTTTTTCTTTTGGAAGTCATTAAAATAAAATAAAATTTAAAAAGCCAAACCTCTCAGTACTTATTAGGAAAGATCAGTTTTATATTGCGTAGAGGATAATGGATAGATTTGATGAAAATCAAAATGTATTGCATTTGAGCAACCCTGTTGGCATGAGCTGTGAAGCTTCAACATTTCAGGAACTGAAGTGGGTTATCTAGGTATATTTTTAAACCCAGTCCTTTGAGATGCTTTGCACAGCTTCCTGCTTGTCTTCTTGCTTCTCTTCACGCAAAACAGATTGCAAGATGTTTTATTGCATGAGTATGCATCTACATGCACAGTGCTGCCCTGGCACCAGCAGTGGGGCAGGAGACTGGGAATGGGGCTGGGCACTGGGGCTAACCCCTTCCTTCGTTGTTGCAGTGGCTAGGGCAGCACTGGGGGCAGTGGCTTTGCTGTTGCCAGCTCTGTGTCCTGGGGACAGGCAGGTGATTTGCTGCTGGAGACCATCTGTTGATCTCCATTGATGCTGTGAGCTCTGTGTCCCATGTCTTGGCACTCTTATGTGGCCTGAAAGGTTGGTGGAAGAGGGAGGATGTTGGCAGAGAGGTGATGAATGTTTAAAGAAGGATGGTGAGGTTAGCAGATGAGTAGAGTGGAGAGGCAATTTTAGCTTGTTGAAGACATAATCTCTTAATGTAGTAGGAGGAAGAAAAAATTGTTGGGGAGGGAGAGTAATAGTTTAGATTAATACAAGGAGATTTAATGAGTGGTAATGTGCTGAAAGCGAAAATTTGATATGAATATCTGAAAGAGCTTTTAGGACGTCAAACCCATTAGGTTGCCAGGCGTAGCGGTGGATGTCTCATCACTTGGGCCTTTATGGTTAGGTTTGACAAAAACTTTAATTCTCAGTTTTGGATTAGAATGCATCAAGTCTAAGATCTGGACATTTCCAGCTCTCACTTTTAGCTTTAACATGGTTTTTTACCACATCTCAGCAACTTGGGTAGTGACAAGTAACTTTCAGTTTTCCCCACGCAAATAAAAATAAATTTGGTCATCTTTGCTACTGGGTAACCGGCTGGATTTAAGGAAACTTTACTGGAGAAATGAAGTGAAGGAACAGTTTCTCTGTGACTGTGAAGATGTCATGAACAGAGCAGGAATCTCCTGTGGGCCAGCAGCCGGGATGAGCAGTTGCCTGCCAGGTGCAAGGGGGTGACTGTGCTGCCACTTACAACCCAGAAGGATCTTGCCTTCCTTTTCCAGCCTTGGACCAGTCATGCCCTCATTGCAATCAAATTCAGGCACCACCATTATCAACATAACATCCTCTTAAAATATGAACTTTGTTCTCTGAAGGCATTAGTGAAAGCCCACTGAGATGTCTGGAAGGCCTCCTATTGCCTTCAGTGAGCTTCATGTTAGTGTCACTCTTCCTCTGGAGAAAAAGGGCTACGTAAAAGTAAATTAAAAATGCATTTGCTGTCCATTTTTCTTCCTGCTGTCCTCCTAAATCTCTAGGTAAACTTAGCATACATCTGAGAAACCATTTCATTTTGTGTTCGTTACCTCAACAGTTTGACTAAAACCTGAACTGAAAGAAAGCAGATGAGAAACAACTCTACAAGTCTTCATGTGAAGTGATCCAGCTTCACCCACTCCCTGTTGTCCTAGGAAGAAACTGTCACTTGGCTGTATTCACGTTGGACATTTGTTATTAGAGAAATAGAGACATGATGGAACATTGCCACAAGATCCATGTCTCTTGTTTTTAAAATAAACATCTTGGCTTTGACTTGATGTTTATTTTCCATAAATGCCTCGGCTTCAATTTGGCATTTCAGCAACAGCGGGAGGCTGTTATCCTGTGACAACATGCAATTCCATTGACATTATCTCCTTATTACATGTGACAGTGTGCCAAATGCTGTACGTAGTTGCTTTTTCTTAAACAATGCCATGAAAATATAAAACAAATGTATTAAATAACAGAAGCGGCCACATTTTCCAGCCCTATACTGTGCGTGTGACACCACAATTACATGAGGTATGCTATGTAGCATTGTGTGCTACGTTAGTCAGCACACTCTGAGTTTGACTTAAGGGGTCCAAAGTAGTCTATGCCTGTTATTTCCTGTTGACTCGAGGGCTGTGGTCAACGTGATGGTTAGCATGTGCAGCACCAAGTATATCAACACTTTGAAAAGTTCTAAACCAATCTAAACACACACAGGTAAGTCCTGATGCTCTTGGAAGACCTTGTTTAGAGCAGTTTTTCATCAGGAGACACTCTTACAAGCATGCTGATTCATTAATTCCCTTCAGGTGCTAAAAGAGTTGCAATGATTATATGTCTGTCTTTCTTTCTCTCATACACTGAGTAAAAAGATGTTGAGGAACAGGCAATCCAAGGCCTTCTTGTCTCCTGAAATCTGTGTTGCATTGTTCCTAAAAAGTCAAAACTCAGGAAAATGATGAGTTTGATCAGTGAGTTCAAGTCCATTCAATCCTCCCAGAATGGATTGAGGACTCTTTTTTTTCTTAGTGCTCTTTAGAAGTGCCCAGATTTTTAAAGATCCTCTCATTTCCACTGCAGGATTGAGGGCAGGTTTCTATTTTTACTGTCTTTCATGAGAATTGTGATGCTTTTTATAATCCTAACCTCAATTTTA